CCTGTGTCTGTTTTTGTGCCAGTAGCATACTGTCCTCATGATTACAGCTTTGTAATAGAGCTTGAAGTCATAATTGTGATGCCTCCACCTTTCTTTTCTTTTTCAGCATTACTTTGGCTGTTCAGGGTCCTTTGTGGTTACACACAAATTTTTGATTTGTTCTAGCTCTGAGAAGAATATTGGTTTATTTTGATTGGGATTGCATTGAATGTGTAGGTTGTTTTGGGTAGTATCCACAGTTTAACAATATTTGTTCTTCAAATCCATGAGCATGGAATGTTGTTCCATTTCTTTCTGTCTTCTTCAATTTCTTTCATAGGCTTTCTATAGTTTTAAGAGCACAGATCTTTGATCTCTTTGGTTAGATTTATTCGTAGGCATCTTATGGTTTTTGGTGCAATTACAAATGTGATTGATTCCTTGATTTCTCTTTGGCTGCTTTATTATTGGTGTATAGAAATCAACTGATTTCTCTATTTTATATCCTGTGACTTTGCTGAATTTATGTATCAGATCTTGCCATTTTTTGGTGTAGGCTTTCGAGTTTTCCATGTAGGGTATCATGTCATCTGTGAAGAGTGCAAATTTGCCTTCTTCCTTGCCAATTTGGATTCCTTTTGTTTCCTTTTGATGTCTCATTGCTGAGACTAGGACTTCCAGTACTGTGTTGAACAACAGTGGTGAGAGAGGACATCCCTGTCATGTTCCTGATCTTATGGGGAAAGCTCTCAGTTTTTCACCATTGAGGATAATATTAGCTGTGGGTCTTTCATATATGGCCTTCAAGATGTTGAGGTATGTTCCTTTTATCCCTAACGTCTTGAGTTTTTAATCAAGAAAGGATGCTGTATTTTGGCAAATGCTTTTTTTGCATTTTTGGAGAATTATATGGTTTTTATCCTTTCTTTTATTAATATGATGCATTATGTTGATTAATCTGTGAATATTGAACCAGGCTTGCAACACAGGAATAATTCCCACTTGTTCGTGGTCAATGGTTCTTTTAATGCACTGTTGAATTTGAATTGCGAGTACATGCTGAGAATTTTTCACCCAGATTCATAAGGGGTATTGGCCTGTAATTCATTTTAGTGGGGTCATTATCTGCCACTCGCTTCTAGTTTTTCAAGTGTCTGTTGAGAAATTTCCAGCTAGCCTTCTAGGTTTTCCCTTATAATTTGAGTTCTTTTATCTTGCTGATTTTAAGATTTTTCTTTTATCACTATATTTTGCAAATTTAATTAGAATATATCTTGGTATTGGTGTGCTTTTGTTGATTTTGATGGGAGTTCTCTGTGCCTCCTCGATTTGGATGTCTGTTTCCTTCCACAGATTAGGGAAGTTTTCAGCTCTTATTTCTTAAACTACACTTTCTGCCTCCTTTTCTCTCTCTTCTTCTGGGACTCCTATAATACAAATGTCATTACATTTGATGAAATCACTGAGTTCTCTAGGTCTATTTTCATGTTCCATAATTCTTCCTCACTTTTGTTCAGCTTCACTCTTTTTCCATTATTTTCTATTGTCACTTATTTATTACTTTGCTTCTTCCAGGATGCTATTCATTTCATCAAACCTGTTTCCCATCTCATTTATTGCTTTCTTCTTCTCTGATTGATTCTTTTTTTAACTATTTTATCTATGTGGTAAGGGTCTTCCTGATGCCTTCCATTCTTTCCTCCATCCCAGTGACTATTCTTATGATTGTTGCTTTAAATTCTCTATCAGGCATGTTACTTATATCTGTCTCACTTAGATCACTGGCTGTGACCTTATCTTGTTATTTCATTTGGGATGAATTCCTCTATCTTGACATTCTGTCTAAATCTCTGCCTCCTTCTCTGTGTTAGAAAAATCATTATGTCTCCTGCTACTGAAAGTAATGTCCTTATAAAGAAGAGTTGTGTAGAAGCCCAGGGCCTGGGGCTTTATTTAGATAAGTGTCTTCAGTATGTGCTGTGTGTGCTCTGCTGTTTTGTTTTGGCTGCTCTAACCTTCAGGCCAGTCATCTGCAGAGGCTCTCCTTGCCTCCTGTGGGCACCGTTTGATCCCTGGCATGAATGTGGTGAGTTTAACTAGGTGGGATCTGGTATGCTTATGAAATGAGACTTGACACCAGCTCCATGAGAACTGAGGCCCTGCAAAACTCTCTGGTCAAGACATGTGGTGGCTCATGCTGGACCTCTGAGGGAGGGGCCTGCCACACTGGGGCTGAGGCAAGCTTGTTTGAGAAGGACCCTCCTGCCAAAGCACAGAGGCATGGGACTTGGTGAGGCAAGTTAGGCAGCCAGCGCCCATGTGGTGCTGTTTCCCATAGGTGGCTCTGTGTCTATGCTGAAGGATGGGGCAACGGAAATGCTGGCCAGTTTCTTAGTTCCTAGAGAGGCATCTACCGGAATGCTTATAGAAGTACTGATTATCTTATAGGGGCTCAATATATTTTAGGGATTTATTCTAATTTAACATAATGGTCTGAGTATATACACTTCTTTCAGGGAAATAAGAGGGAGATTGATTATTTAAAATATTGGTGTATTTTGCAGGACTGATGCAGAAGAAACTTAAGCAAAGGAAAAAAAGAACTAGAGATACACATAAAAACAAACAATTATAGGTATAAAATGTAATGTTTTCCTACGAGTCCATTGCTCATCTGTTTTTGATGTATTTATTATTGAAGTTAGCAAATGACTCAATATTTCTCCTAACATTATTAAAGATTCTTGTGAAGAGTAAGAACAAACTCTCCAGATATAAGTGTATTGAGTGAGGTGGCTAGACTGTGTACATCAGGCCCATAGAACTTATATCCTCTGTGTGGACCTTTTTGTTGGCTTGTGAACTGTTTCTGGAGGCACCTATGAAAGAGATTTGTGTAGATGAAAGGACATTGACAGCATCCTACCTCACATTATGTTTTATGTGAGGCATTTCTGTGTTATTCTGAGTGGGAAAGTAAAAATTATCCAGTGATCCCTCCTCTTTACATTTTGAGAATTATGAAGTGACAGAGAAGAAAATATATATGTGATTGATTGCAATGATTAAATAATGGGGTCTTTTAGAGAAAGGTATCAGATCACAGAAAATATCAAAGTTCAATTAAAAACTCATCCAATTTTCCCATAAAAAGCTAACTACTGTATTATGATAAATGGAAATAAAAAGATTTATTCATTTTATGAGAGTCCACTACAGAAAAATGTACAAATCTACATTTCTCAAACTTTACATAAATTCCATGATTCTATAGATAGAGCTAAGTCAAATCCTAACTAAACTCATAAGAGTCATATTCTTTATCCATTGAGACTGAGACAGTCATGGAATAAATGTTTCATGAATGAATAAGTAATGAATAAGACTGTTTTATTACCTTTTAAGCCCTTTAAGTTGTTTCTTCTCACTTTCTTGTGAGAAATGACTTCAATAACAAAGACCCATTTAGTCAGAATATTGATAAATGTTTGTAAGGCATCTCAAGAGATTTGATGTACAAAGTCATTATTTGTACGTTACAATGTTATATGCTCCCCACAAAGTAAGTGAAGCCACCCATTCAAGTCTATATTTCTGAGGATGAAAGCACTAGCATAGAAAATACAAAACCAGATAAACAAAACAGTTCCTATCGGTCTTTAGCATAAATCATGTACATTCAAGTTTATATTTAGAGCCTCTTTGTGTTATATTAAAAACAAAAATAAAAATTCCTGTTTACCCTCAAGATATGCAAATGGTTAGAGTCATAAAAGAGCTAAGTAGGATGGGTATAGTATTGTTTGCATCCACAGAATATTCATATGCACCAACTATTCTATTAATTGTCTCTATGATCTAGGAATTACTTGCCTCAGTAGAAATTGAAGACAGATTCCCACCAACAATGCATGAGGGTTCGTTTTTCTCCATATCCTTACGGACACTTGCTATTTTTTGCATTTTTGATTTTACTTATTCTGACAGATGTAAGGTAATCTCATATTGTGGTTTTAATTTGCATTTCTCTGATGCTTAGTGATGTTGAGCATATTTTCATGTGTGTTGGCTATCTCTCTGTCTTCTTTGGAAAAAGGTATATTAGTGTACTCTGCCTATTTTTAAATCAGATTTTTTTGGTGTTGAGTTGTATAAGTTCTTTATAAATTTTGGATATATCATTTAGATATATCTTCTCCCATTCAGTAGTTTGCCCTCTTGTGTTGTTTATTGTTTACTTTGCTGTCCAAACTCTTTTAGTTTTGTTGTAGTCTCAATAGTTTAATGTTGCTTTTGTTTCTCTGGTCAAAGGAGACATATTTCAAAAAGAGTTTTTGTGGCTGATGTCAAAGGAATTGCTATCCTCATGCACTGTTGGTGGGAATGCAAATTGGTACAGCCACTGTGGAAAACACTATGGAGTTTCCTTGAAAAACTAAAAATAGAAGTACCATATGATCCAGTAATTCCACTAAAACACTAATTTGAAAAGATATGTGCACCCCTGTTTACTGCAGCATTATTAATAATAGTCACTATATGGAAGCAACCCAAGTGCCCGTCAATAGATGAATGGATACAGAAGATAGAACAAACAGAATAGAATATTTATCAGCCATAAGAAGAACAAAATCTTGCCACTTGCAATAACATGGTTGGAGCTAGGGCATGTAATGCTAAGTGAAATAAGTCAGAGAAAGACAAATACCATATGATTTCACTCATATGTTGAATTTAGGCATCAAAGCAAATGAACAAACAAATAAAAGAAAGAGATTAAAAAAACAGACTCTTAAATATAGGGAATTAGTAATTTCTAGAGGGGAGGTGAGTGAGGAGATGGGTGAAATAGATAAAGGGGATTAAAAAAATTACACGTGATGAGCACTGATAAATGTATAGAATTGTTGAGTCATATTGTACACCTGAAACTAAACTATATAACACTGTGTGTTATTTCACTTGAATAAAACAAATAAAGACAATTAGAAAATGGTTTTCATTCTTATCCAGGGTAATACTTTTCTTTGACTTTCCATTCCTCTTCGATTTTGTAGATTCACGGTCAATCTCACCAGCTTCCTCAATGCATTCTTCATGTCCTTGTTCCGCAGGGTATAAATAAGAGGGTTAAGACTTGGAGTGACAATCGTGTAAAAGAGGGTGAGGAACTTTCCCTGGTCTTTGGAAGCACTGTTACCTGGTTGCAGGTACATGTAGATAATAGTTCCATAGAAGATGGACACGACAGTGAGATGAGATCCACAGGTATTAATTGCTTTTTGTTGGCCTTCTTTTGACTTTATTCTCAGCACAGCTTTGGCAATGTAGCCATAGGATATAAGAATAAGGCCGAGTGGTGTAAGGACAATGACAATGCCCAAAGCAAAAACAGACATTTCAACTGTTGTGGTGTCTATACATGCTATCTTGACCATAGCTGGCAACTCACACAAGAAATGGTCCAGAAGGTTGTTTCCACATCGAGGCAAATTCAGGGTGAGTGTACATAATAATACAGAAACAGCCAAACTAATGCTCCAGACCGTGATTATCATTTTGAGACAGAGATGTGGGTTCATGATTACCAAATAATGCAGGGGCTTACAAATAGCTGTGAAACGATCATAGGACATAACAGCGAGGAGGAGACACTCAGTGGAACCCAACCACATATAAACGTAGAGTTGAGTGACACAGCCCACATAGCTGATGGTCTTGTCAGGTCCCCACAAGTTAACGAGCATCTGAGGGATGATGCTGGTTGTGAAACATAGATCCAGGAAAGATAAGTTCCTGAGGAAAAAATACATCGGTGTGTGGAGATGGGAATCCAGGAGAGATGCAAGGATGATGGCTGTGTTACCCACCCACGTAACGAAGTAGAAGAGAGTGACAACTCCTGATAGGACCATCTCCAGTTTGGGATGGTCCGAGAAGCCAAGCAGAATAAAACCATGCAGAGAAGTGTGATTGTTTTGGCCCATAGTCCTTCAGTGTCCAAATCCTAGAATGAGAAAAGCAGAAGGAGGGAAAGGAGAATGGGGATGATGATGTGGAACAGGAGGAGGAATAAGGAAGAAGAAGGAGAAGGAGAAATTGATCAGTAGAGACTACATAATTTAACTAAATACAGAACTAAAAAAAGAGAAAGAATTTATGTTAATTATTAAAAAAATAATGGGTCAAAGTAAATATTATAGCCAAGTAATCTGGTATTTGTTGTAGATCATTTTATGGTGTTGGGTTTAATATTATATTTTTATCTAGGTGACCTCGGAGAATTTGGTGAAATTTGTCACATGTAAATTTGCAAGTTTGAAAAGGATCTGGTTCTAAAGTGATGTGACCCTCTGATTCTCTACCCATCTTGTTTGCTTGATATAGTGAACACATTATTTTTTTGGTCAGGAAATTTGCCTATAAAATGTAATTATTTTGCTAATGTCAGAATGAGGAAAAGAGTGTTCCTCTTCTTTCATATCTTAGTGAGTAGTACCATTGGTGTAGCGATTTCTCACGTAGGAGACATGGCCTTTTATCTTTGGCACCTTTATGTCTCTCATCCCAATACGTAACTTATCACTGAAATGGTAAATTTTAATGCAAGTTGTATTTTAACTATCCTCTCACTTTTTTTTTTTTTCAACGTTTATTTATTTTTGGGACAGAGAGAGACAGAGCATGAACAGGGGAGGGGCAGAGAGAGAGGGAGACACAGAATCAGAAACAGGCTCCAGGCTCCGAGCCATCAGCCCAGAGCCTGACGCGGGGCTCGAACTCACGGACCGCGAGATGGTGACCTGGCTGAAGTCGGATGCTTAACCGACTGCGCCACCCAGGCGCCCCTATCCTCTCACTTTTAAGAAGCTTCCACAATCACTATGGTGTTCTAAACTACTATTGTCTCTTTTCTAAACATTTTTTAAAACGTTTATTTAGTTTTGAGAGAGAGAGAGAGAGAGAGAGAGAGAGAGGAGGGGCAGAGAGAGAGAGAGAGGAAGAGACAGTATCTGAAGCAGGCTCCAGGCTCTGAGCTGTCAGCACAGAGCCAGACATGGGGCTTGAAACCACGAACCCTGAGATGATGACCTGAGTCCATGTTGGATGCCTAACCAACTGAGCCCCCCAGGTGCCCCCATTGTCTCTTTTCTAGATTCTGGCTGCTGTCTTCACTCCTTTCATCCAGTCTTTTTTGTTGTTGTTTACATTGTCACAAGATTCAATAAAATCAATTACATCATCCACATGCTTTTTAATTTGCGGGCCTCTTTCTGTTACATTGAAGAAATACTCCAGTCCCTTAAGATTCCTGGATGGACATGCACAAGGCCTCATTCTCATCTCAGAAGTCACTTTACACACATGGACTCCTGGCTTCCTCCCAGTTCGACATGTAAACTCATTTCCATCAGAAGCCCTTGGAACACGTCCCCTTTTCTGGATTTCTACTTGTTTTGTAATCCTGCTTATTCTTTTGTCCGGCTCTGAATGTTTCTTGCTTAAAGAGGGTTACTCTGAATATGTCTTTTTTTTGTTTGATATCGTATGTCATGAAAGGGGTATCTGCAGATGGCCAGTGTATCCCAGAGCCTAAAAGCATAGGAAGTGTTTTTCTTCACGTCTCTGCAAGTTACTTAAGAGTTTTCTCCCAGACAATTTACCAAGCACTTCTGGGCTCAGATTTCTTATTGTGAAAATAAGAAAAACAAAAGTGCTTGGAGTCAAGATTAACTTAGTCATAAATCTGCTTAGAGCATAGCATATCTCTATAAATATTAGTTAGTACAATTGTTATAAGGAGAAATTATAATGTGCCATGTAGGTAAAAGTTTAACAGCCTCTAATGATATTTTGCAATCTTTAAGAAAGTGTGCTTGATAGCTCTCCATGCTGCCTAAAACATTCCCCCAATACCTATCTATCCAATATCTGTGTATCTATGTATCTGTCTATCTGTATCTATCTACCATTTACTTTTCCCACATATTTATACATAATTGTTGAACAAAAGAACAATTATCATACTATGAATAACAGCGTAAAATCACTTAAAGTTATTAGTTAGCACTTTTTTTTTTTTTACATTAAAACATACGTTGGTGTTTTTGAAGTTACCTAAATGGGAGGAGAGAAGGTGGCAGACAAGTGGAAAATATCTGTGATTTATATGGTAACAAATAACAGGTATATTCAGTTTGGTGAAAAGTAATTTAAGACATTAGTTTCTATTTTAAGGAATAATGAGCTCAGCCTTATTCAGTAGTGTGATACAGGTAGAGCTCCTGTGGACATGCATGAGGATATTAGAACCGCCCAAATTTTTAACAATTGAACAGATTATCACTAGTTATCCATAGTGTGCTATCACTGAATATAAAAATACAACTTCTTACTGCTGAAGCCATGGTAACATCCAGAAAGCTTCTACTAAAAAATAACGGGGGTGCCTGGGTGGGTCAGTTGGTTAAGCTTCAACTTTGGCTCAGGTCATGATCTCACAGTTCTTGAGTTCAAGCCCTGCATCAGGCTCTGTGATGACAGCTCAGAGCCTGGATCATGCTTCGGATTCTGTGTCTTCCTCTGCCTTTGCCCCTACTCTGCTCACACTCTCTCTCTTTCTCTCAAAAATAAATAAACATTAAAAAAAATTAAAAAAAAATAAATAAGAGTGGCACCTGGGTGGCTCAGTCAGTTAGGTGTTTGACTCTTGATTTTGGCTCAGGTCATGAATCTGGGTTCAAACCCCACGTCAGGCTCTGTGCTGGGCATAGAGCCTGCTTGACATTCTCTCTCTGCCCCACTCCCCCTTCATGCTCTCTCTCAAAAAAAAAAAAATAACTAAGGGAAAATACTTATTGAAAATTAACAAGTAAATATCAAACTAGTGTCCCTGTCTCCCTTTGTGTGTGTGTGTGTGTGTGTGTGTGTGTGTGTGTGTGCGCGCGTGCACTCACGCGTGTGTGTGTAGATATAATACAAATATATACAGTATGCTATTTGTTTATTATGCCATTTCAAATATGTTTCCTGGATATTATGAAGAAAATACCTCAAACTGTGGCCATGATTCAAAAGTAGAAATGTTTAGAAGCAACTGATTATACTGGCTAAGATAGTTGAGAGAGTCAGTTGGAGATTCCCTCAGAATTAGCTTTTCAAGGGGTACCAGGGTGGCTCAGTCAGGTAAGTGTCTGATCTCATGGTTCATGGGTTCAAACCCCACATTGGACTCTGTGCTGACAGTTCAGAGCCTAAAACCTGCTTTGGATTCTGTCTCTTCGTCTCTCTCTTGCCCTCCCCCCACTTACACTCTGTCTCTATCTCAAAAATAAACATAAAAAAGAATTGGTTTTTCAAGAATCCTGGTTTAAGCCTGGATTCTGACATTGACTAAATTGGATAAAAAAATAACTCTCTGAAATGTGTTGCACACTGCCACACATCTTTATAGGTCTATAATGTCTGAGCAGGGAGATGAATAAATAATACTTATTTATATCAACAGACAAGTTGGTGTGTGTAATAGTTCCTGACTTCTGAATAAGACAGAACCTCAGTTAAAATTATATGAAAACAAAAATGAAGATTTTTTGAAAATGAAAGTCAATGCCATGCTGTTAATTCCTTAGCTACTTCCATTATCGCTATGCCTTTCAAAGATTAATTTAGAAAGGGGAAAAATCCTCCTGCCAATTAAAACCCTGACATTGGAAGTCTTCAAATAATTTTTCATGCACACCATGAGATATAGAGAAAGGTCTGATTCCTTCCC